TTTCTTATGTTAGCATTAAAATAATCACTTAGTGCTAATGTTGAGTGACCTAATGTTTACTGGTTAGGGCACATACAGCATGAGAAGGGTCCAACTGCAGCCTTACAGAACCAAGTAGCTAGTTTCACAGTACTTTACAACCTACTGCTTACTCTAACTTTATGGAACAAAGGGCTGCAACAATGTATGCATACTCTTGTCCCACTTCTTTAGCATGTGTTACAAAAAACACAATTGTTACAAAACCTAAGTGCTGTGTGAGCCATGTAGGCAGACTACAAACTTCCATCTATTAGGACTCTAATATTTCCTCTGACCTTGAGAAATGGTGACTCTTCCAACATGTCCAGGAAATCTGGGAAGTAATCTCCAACTTCCTCGTCAACGGCTCCAACCAAGCTGATCTGCCTCATGGGTCCTGCTCGGTAAGTCCCTGAACAGTAAGTCCGACTCACCTAGGACAGCAGAAATTTTAAATATATTTCAGGGTGTGTGCTACAGTCTAACTTACTGTCTTTGTATACTGCGTTTAGACACAAAACAAATGACTGTTAAATGTCAAAGCCTGAAGAAGAATGGGCACTCTCATATCACAGATTAATGATTGCGACAAAGCTTCAGTGACACTTTATGGCTAACAGATTCGATTTACTCAGTCACACATCACCTGGTAGCCTATTCAAAGGAGGGGGAAAATCCATACACAAGTCACTCTAATGGATTTCTGGCCCGTGTGTGTCTAGTCGAGACACTACAGACCGTAATCTGTGAGTCACACCTTTATTTGTAGAAGCACATAAATGCATAGAAAATATACTAGACTACAGTCATTGTAGCAAAATGATCAAACGCTTCATGAATCACAGACGTGATCAGCAACATAAACACTGCTGTTTTATGTAATGACCTAGTAAAATTCTGTAGTACGTAAAAACAACAACAACAAAAACTTTTTGTGCATTTATGCAGTGGTGAGAGACAAACTGCTGAGCTCTGTATCCTTTTCAGCGTCACACATTTGCAGATGTACTGACACAGTTTCATCTTTCTGCAGTTTTTCCAAACAAATCAATTTGCAACTAGGGCTGGGTATCGTCACTGATTTCTAGAATCGATTCAATTCCGATTCACAAGGTACCGAATTGATTCGATCAGAGTCGGGGAAATTTTGCCTCAGACAGTCTGAAATATTATAATTCTGATCACTTATAAAAATATTGATATGTACTGATATCTATAAAAAGAAAGTTGACACTTGTGAGACTTTATCAAAGGTGCGAGCATCACAGCAGAT